TCACTAGATTCGAAGCTGATTGCTACCGTCACGGAATGAGCTGTAATATGGTCAAAGAACCCTGGAAATCGTGGAGCCCCATGCACGTATCCTAAACCGCAGGCTCACAATAGCAGTATCTCAACATATTTCAACACAGCTGTTCCATGGAGCCCTAGACCCTAAACCCTAAACCCTACCAGATGCTCTCAAAACACATTTACGAGACTAAGAAAGAGAAGGCCTGCTGTCTTCAAGAGGCCCGCCAGCTCGCGGCCGTGGGAACTCGGGACGGGTCCTGGTCCGCACGCAGTTCGGGAGCTTAGGGTTCAGGGGGGCTCCTTGCAAGCACGGTTTAGGGTTTTTTTTTGGGGGGGGGCTCCTTTTTCCACCTGGTTCGCGGGGTCCCAGCCAGAAGGTCATGAAGACCAGGAGAGGACGAGAACTCAGTCCCGTCCGGTTTAGGGTTTAGGGTCTAAGGTCGACCCCAACCCTGAAATCGGGGTTTAGGGTTTCGGGCTCAGGGTCTGTGGTTTGGGGCTTAGGGCTCAGGAGCTCCTTTAAAGTACGGTTTGTTTCCCTCTGCATGATCCGGTAAGCGGTTCCCACTAGGCGTATTACCTGCTCAGGGATAGGGCTTAGGGGTTCCAAGGTTAGCCATGCTGGAGGAGTGATGCATTCCGGGGTTCTGGGGGAATCCGGCATGGGAAACTTACAGTTTAGTGTTTACAGTAGGCATGCTGACAGACTATATATGAGCCGCCCACTGGCACCGTTGCAAAAGCCTTTCCCTGCAGCGGATTGAGTCGAAACTCGACATCCCCGTCAATCAGCCGCCAGCAGAGGAAAGATTTTCATTTCCCTACGCACAAGCGCCATGAACCCTCATTCACACAACCATTCACCATGAACAACATCCCGAGCGTCATCTGGGCCCTGACGGCCACGCGCCGAGCCCTGAAACCTCCCCAAGGCGCTTGGAGAGTGTTTCAGCCAAGCCTTTTGCAACAGGCTTCGCACTTCCCCTGGGTCGTACAGCACCCACAGAAGCCGAAACCCTGAACCCTAACCGCATTCATGGCAGCTCGAGCTTCCGCAGCTGGGTTTTGGGATTGAGGTGGTGCACGAAAACCGATACCCAAATGCAAACGATGGCGGTTCCGTACAAGCCACATCCGCCCCAGCTGCACTTGTCCCCAAACTCTCCCAACCTGAACTGAACTACCGGGTTTAGGTTCGGCTAGCCGCGGCTAGCCCACAACCCACTACCAGTGACATTTCGAAATCACAGTGTTTTGTTCCAACTCAACCATGAAAAATCGTCGGGTCCGGACTAACACAAGGTTTAGGGAGTTTGCGGGACAGATGCGTGCAACAACCCCTAATAAAAAAAGGGAGTTTAGGGGACAGATGCGTGCAACAAGTTCGGACGCCCCTGATAAGAAGGGCAACTCGGAGCTCCTTTCTGCCGGTCCACCGCAGAGGACAAGTTATTCGCCACTTTGAAGGCGAAGGTGGTCTGCCAGGTCGAGATTCTTGTGTCTTAAGGTCTCCGGATCTTTTGTTAAGGACCTGTCGAGATTCTTTTGTCTCAAGGTCTCCGGATCTTTTGTTAAGGTCTAAGGGTCTGATTTATCTGAGATTAGAGGGAACTCCAGAAAGTTGGAATATGGCTTCAGGGTAGGATAATCTTAGGATAATCATATTCCAACTTTCAGGCTTTTACTTTAGGGTTGTGTTTCTAAAGGACTTTGGGTCTTGTTTGAAGGCGGGTCTGGGGCCTTCTTATAGGGGCTGAGGGTCTTCTTTACGAAAGCTTACGGTCCTTCAGTTAGGGGTTCCGGATCTATGGATATACCGTTTAGGATCAAGCAAAACAGTGTTGGCAGTCGTCTGGGGTCTAGGTCTGGACTATGACTATGCCAGGGCTCCATGCCCTGCAGTAGCGAGACAGGGGATCAGCGTCGGCGCTTGCGACATAATTGCAGGCTTTCACGCAAGGAGCTGCGACGGCTAGCACTGGTATAAGCCGTAAGCACGGAAACAGGAGCAAACCGAACCCAAATTCTCCAGCAACTCGTCGACAGAGGCAGGATACAGTGCATCAGTGTAGAAAGCGACATGGTGGTGATGACGGGAGCGGCATGGCGACGCCTGTGGCCTGGAAGACGGTGACGGTGATGATGACGATCAACATCAGCTTCCACTACTTCTCCCACTATTCCTCCTACTACTACTACTACTACTACTACTACTACTACTACTACTATTACTACTACTACTACTACTACTACTACTACTACTACTACTACTACTACTGCGACTACGACGACTACGACGACGACGACTACTACAACTACTACTACCTCAGGAGCTACATCAGCCTCTGTGGCTCTTGGTAACCGTTGCTGCGACACTCCTTAGAGCAAGATGCTCGCCTGAACCCCAATCGGTCAGCCCTTGAGGGTTTCCAGAGGGCCCTAAACCCTTCTTGAGGCAATACATACTGAAGAATCGGCTTAGGGTTTAGGGTTTAGGGCACTGAAGAATAAGACTTTTTGACATGATGATGCAAAGTGCTTTTTTATCTCAGGCGTATTCTGCCAATCTGGCCTGCGAAAGAATATGATGCTAAAAGGCTCATGAATAAAACAAATACAATGATAGCGACAACTTGCAAACGAGGCGTGGCGGTACAGCATGTTAACTTTCTTGTTGGCCGGTGTTAGGGTTGCCAGAAGTGTTCTGGCCCTTTTGTTTATGAGGAAAACACCAGAAGTGTTCGGGATCCGTGCTTTTTTCCGCTGATGGAGGAAAAACGACATCTGTGTCTAAATTTCGAGTGCACAAATTTCGAGGCCTGGACGTCAAGCAACAATGAGTACTCTCACAATGAAACCATTTCGAAGTCTGCCTAGAAAAGTATATGAAAGAACACAGAGTGACCTCACATGCCAAGGACGATAAAAAGAAACGTGACAGGGGACCGTCGATTGTAACGAAATCGGTTTAAGCTTCAATAATTTCAATATGATTTCAATATATTTCGACGCTGTATAGGCAATCCAACAAACATTGAAGCCAACGAAAATATCCGGCAACAAGGAATTGCTTTCATGTAAACACGTGTAAAGTATCAGGAATCAGGATCACAAGATGCGACGCTGATGCAATCGCTCGACTCGCTCCACTGACTCCACTGCAGCATTTCTCTCGACCAGCTGCGCAAATGCCCCGTGGCCAGGGTCCCCCGGCGACGTCATTGCGTCGGCTTGTCCCAGATCGAACCATTTCGAGGAAGGTGGATTTAAGCACATGCCAGAAAGCCATCAAATGATCATCATACATGATTTCTGAGGCCGCCAACAGGACAACCGGGCCGGGTCCAGGCTTGAAGCAACACATGCCATCCCCACAGCACGATACTTGCTGTACAGCCTTGCAGGGCCCTAAAACCCACTCATCAGACCCCATGCCTGGTGGCCCCGTGGCTATGCC